AGATGGAGAGTGAGGACAAGGTTGGCAAAGGAGGTTCCTGGGTTAGCTTTCAGAGAGATGCTGTTGCACATGCTGCTGGCCTCAACAAGATGGCATGCCCCCATTGGAACAATCTTTCAACAAAGCTGAGCTTTCCTTGGCTGACTAAGCCTGATGGCGAGCCATCTCTTGATGCTAGCAGCTCTCCCTCTACTATCAAACAAACCTCTTGGGGAATATAGGGATAGGGAATATAGGAATATGGGGAGCCGCTTGAAGGCCACCCACAGAGAGTGCCACATGGAGTTACTATAGGCCTTTGTGTGCTGCTTGAGAGACTGTAAGAGGAAAATAAACCACCCCAAATCCAACAAACAGGAGGTAAGAAGGCGGGGATGTGTATGGGGAGAAGAGCAGTAGGAGGTCTCAGTCCTGGTCCTCCTAAAGGGTGAGGAGATCACAGCAGAGTGCAAATGACCCAAGGCAGGCATGTTGGAGGGAGGGAAGGCCCTCTGCAGGCAAGGAAACTGTGCAGACACATCTCTTCCTCTCATTCCTTGTGCTGTGTCTGAACATGCTTTGTATATGTGCATCTTTGTCCTCTGGCTTCAGAGCTCCTTCTGTCAGGCCTTCGTCCCTGAGTTCTGTACCCTACATAGGATCTCACACATTTGCTTGTACAAAGCAAGGGCCCTGCTTGTGGTTACTGAGACCAAGCACAGTGCATGGGATGGAAGTCCTCTGCACCCAGGTCTTTTGATGGATCTATATTGCTGAAGTCACTATGAGGACCTGGAATTAAATAGTCTTAACTGACTGGCCAGATAAGATGGTGGTGCATTTATTCAGTTTTTTGGGGGCAGATCCTTTTTGAAAACCCACTGTGTGCCAGGTTTCCTCCCAGGATCCAGGATCTAGAATGCATATAAGAGATGGCAATTCCTAGTTATAGTTCTTTCTCCCATCACCTCAGTTTCCATAGCATCCAGATGGGAATGGCAGTTGTAACTGCTTTGCAAAGGTGTGGTGAGGACTTCAGTGCCTGGCCTGTGCCAAGCATGGCATGCCCAGTCAACTGGTTTGACTGTCTCCCATTAGTGCTCCCTTCACAGTAAAGTAACCCCATGCATGTGGAGCACAGAGTGACACAGAGCAAAGGGTGTTGCCTTTAAGTGGACTTCAAAATAAACAAATGAAATCAACTAAACTTTTTGTCAATTGAGGATTTGATTTTTATTTAAAGTAAACTTTGGATGCTATTCACCACAGGAGAAAGGTGAGTGTGTCTTATAGAAGCCTGCTGGGAGAGGGAGAACTAGCTTCTCCCAGGAACAAACTCCCTCATTGGTTTGCTAGGCATTTTAATCTTACTGTGTAACTCTTTGCTGGCCTCTTGTTTGAGAACATATGCCGTCCATCCCATTGTCATTCTTGTCCTCAATAATGGTCCTATTCTGAAGCTGCTCTTTGGTTTTCTCTCTATGTTGTTCCACCTTCACTGAATGACTAAATGTGTATTTAACAATAGCTGTTAGTGTGGCACTGACATTTTTATATGAACAACTACACTATCAATGTCCTGTCAGTTGCCTCCCCACATTATCAATATGGTCTTGATATTAATTTTCCTTAATATAAGTAGATGTACGACACTCATTTTCACTGCTGTATGTACACACACAAGGTATCCATTCTCTGGTGGTGAGGTGGTTTCTGATTATTGCTATTTCCAACACTTTTTCATGAGCATACTTTTTTTATTTCCTTGTGTAATAAGATATGCATTTAGAAGTAGAATTGCTGGGTCTTGAAAGACATGAACATTTTAAATATGGATGGTGGACCATCAATTTGTATCTACTGGAGCTAATAGTTCTACCAGTGGGCATGCCTTCAGTCCTTACTTTATCCTTCTTGTCCAGAATTTCCATCTCCCCCCCCTTTTTTTTAAAGAATGAATGGGAAGAAATGTCTGTTCTCTAACTCTCTCTGTAGGATTAATCCAGACAGGACCCTGCTTATCTATGCCTCTGTAGCCATGGAGGCCTGCAGCCGGCTGGCCTCATGGAATGGTGGATGGATACTAGCTAAGAATTTTTTCAATGGGAAATGAAATGTGCTCAGCGGGAGTCTGCTGAGGAGGAGGGGGTCTTAAGGGGAGGCAGATGGGGGGGGTTGTCCATCTGGATCCTGCAGGCCTCTGGGTGCTGGGAGGTTATTCTTAGCCGTCTTTTCTTCCGTCTTTCTTTTCTCTTAGTCAGAGCTCTCTTGATTGTGCAGTTGGCAGCCCCCTTACTTCTGTAAAGCAATGGTTTTCCATACAGTAATTCTTTCCTTCTTCATGCTTCCCAGAGTGGGTGGGCAGCTCCTTTTGTGTTCACATTTTACACATTGCCTCCCACCCAGCTCCTCCCCTGAGAGTATTTTTGTGACTGATGGAGACCTATTATGTGTGCTGGGTATTTGACCCCCATTTCCTTGTTTGTTTACAAAGAGCTTAGCCATACCACTCTCCTTGCTAATTTTTTCCTAGTAACATCTAATGGGAGGACATTGGCCGCCCTTCCTTCTGCCATTGCATGTGTCCTGAATTCTGCTGGATTAATTTAACTTGAGCCTGAAGAGGCAGCAAAGCTGAGGGCAGGTGGCTGAACTCCAATCTTTGGCTCCTGCGTCATAGTCACAGTCACCACCGTGCTGATGCCCTTTCTATAGCTAACAGGCTCTTCCACAGTCCGTTTGCAGAACAGCAGAAAGCAGCACTGAGGCTTAGTTTCACAGGGAGGAGGCAGGGTGTAAGCTTGTTCTTGCTTTTCTGCTTTGAGATTCCCTCCTCGCCTTTTCTTTCAGCCCATACAGGAATCATACATGTCTTTGGGGGCAGTAGCTAATGTAAAAGGGAAAAGCCAAGTGGAGTCAACTGTATTAAGAATTAGTAAGGACGGTGGGATCTGAATGTACACCTTGGCTAAATGGACTCAATTGTAAACATTGCTTTAGTTTGGGTGTTCAAAGTCTCCCAAAGGCCACACATTAAAGGCCGGAGATTGACTGTGAGATAGGCCGGTTCCTGAGAGACTCCATGTTTGTGCTATTGGTAGGTGGGCCAGGTCTTCAGGAGGTGGGGCCTGATGGGAGGCTAACCTTGATGTTAGATGCTTTAAATCTGACTCCTGCCCCCACCATGATATGATGCCTTGCTGGAGGCCCAAGGGAAAGGGAACCGCCCCATCTTGGACTATGAACCTTCTAAAACTATAAGCCCCAAACTGACTTTGCAAGTTAATTACCTTAGCTATTTAATTACAGTAACAGACAGCTGACCAATACAACATTTAAAAATGCAACAAGAAGAAAAACAAATCCATTTGTGTTATCCTCTTGGTTGTTGATGGGAAATGGAGACCATTTGCATGGTGTTCACTTTTCTCTCCCTGCTTGCCAGCACAGCACTCTCTTGGTTGCAGTAATGCTGTGGTGTGGGGCAGTATATTAAAGGTAACTGAGTGCTTTCATGGCTTTTGGAATAGAGCAAGTTGTAGAAGAGTATTATAGTCCCAGGCATGTATGAGCCCTGGGCTAAGCCATAATCTCTCCTTCCTAGTTCTCAAGGCACGTGGTTGTTTGAAAAAAAAAAATGGCCTTCAAGGGGAGTGACACTATTAGGAGATGTGGCTTTGTTGGAGTATATATGGCCTTGTGGAAGGAAGTGTGTCACTGTAGAGGCAGGCTCTGAGGTCTCATATATGCACAAGGCATGGCTCGGTGTCTTAGACCACTTCCTTTTGCCTGCAAGTCAAGATGTAGAACTCTCAGCTTCTTCTCCAGCACCATGTCTGTCTGCATGCCACCATGTTGCACCAGGATGATAATGGACTAAACCTCTGAAAATGTAAGTCACCCCAATTCAATGTTTTCCCTTGAAAGAGCTGCCATGGTCATAGTGTCTCTTCCCAGCAATAGAAACCCTAACTAAGTTGGCCATATTTTATCAGTGATTAGGAGAGACATACCCCAAATTCACGCCCCAGGTCGAAGGTTTTGTTCTTCCTCTACTTCTTGCCTCCCTCTTTCATCCCATTTGAAAGCCTGGAAGCTGCTGCCCAAGTCTCCATGCTGGCAGAGGCACAGTGACAAGGATAGACCCCAAGTTAATCTTCTTGCTCAGAGCTTTGGGCTAGGAGAAGAGTTGTGGCTCATGCCTTTGCTGAAAGAAACCTGGCCCACAGGGAAATGTGGTCCCAGGGAGATCCTGGGCTTTGGATAATCATCTGCAACAGTTATTCTTTTTGGAGGGGTTAGGAAGAGAATTGGTCTAGTCTCCCCCAGGACTGACTGGGATACTGTGGGAGCAGAGCTGCAAGTGCCCTATGCCGAGAGCACAGCTCCACTGTCCAGAGCTGCTATTGGGCTACCCCACAGCATTGCCTCTATAAGATGGGGATAACTTCTGGAGGCATGGCAGGGTGAACAGAGATAAAGCCTGGCTATTTCATAGGAAAGTTGATTCTTTTTTTTTTGTTAATTTATTTATTAGTTCTAGTTAGGGAACAAGCTTATTTCACATGTAAGTCCCTTCTCCCTCTCCCTCCCCTCACCCCCAACCTACCCCCAACTCCATCCACCCACCAATCCCCAGGCAGGGTAGGGCCCTCAACGGGGGCTCTGCAGTGTCCTCCAAATCTTCCTTGA